TTGTTTAGGGATAGAGGAATTTGCCATGATCCATTCATGTAAGAAATTGCAGGATGATGCTCACAAGTATGCTCTAGAAAACTTCAATACTGTTGTGGAGAGTGATGAATTCCTACACTTGAGTTTAAATCGTCTGAAAGAATACATTGCGAGTGATTGGATTGAAGTACAAGTGGAGGATACAGTATACCAGGCCGTTATGAAGTGGGTGAATTATGACATCGACGAAAGGCGCCATGATTTATGTGAACTTCTGAAAGAGGTCCGACTTCCTGTCATAGATTTAAACACATTGACAGAAATTGAGCACAATCCCCTCATACGAAGCATCCCCAGTTGTCTTAAACTTGTGATGGAGGCAAAGGAACAGCATGAGTCCATACATGACCAACATGGCCGAAGAAGACGCAGCATGCAGAATTCCCAGGTGCATCCCCGTCCATCCACTGTTGCCACAGAGAAACTGGTAGTCATTGGAGGTCAAGGAACAAAGTCAATGGAGATGTATGACCTCCAGAAGGATAAATGGTTCGATCTTCCATCTTTTCCGAAGTCAGTGACTTCCTTTAGTGTTTGTGCTGTATCAAATTCTATAGTTGTGACAGGAGGCATACTGGAGAATCGTATCATATCTGAAGTTTGGAAATTTGACAGCGTAAAACGAGTATGGTTGGAAATGCCCCCTCTCCTTAAACCTCGAGCTCAGCATTCATCAGGAGTCCTTCAAGAAAAACTCTTTGTTCTAGGAGGCATAACATATGAAACAACCTCATCTTGCAAAGATTTAGATACAATAGAGAGTTATGATTCCAGAATAAAAGCATGGACAGTAGTGGGACATTCTCTATTTCCTCGTAGTATTTCAAGGATTGTTTCTCACAACGATGCGCTGGTAGAGGTCGGAGGGCTTCAAACTGGAGTTAAAGTAAAAACCATAGACAGCTATATGCTGAGTGAAAATGGTAAGATGAAGTCTACAGGAGAGCAGTTCATTTTACCCGATGCCATACAGTTTGCTCAAATAGTTGTGATTAATGGGATATTTTATATCATCTGGGAAGATTCGAAGAAAATGATAGCTTTGAATCCTCAGAAGCGAACATTCCAGACACTAGCCGACTTGCATTATTCTCACAAATATAGTGGGGCCACTGTTTTAGGGGACAGAATCTTCCTGACGGGGGGATTGGTGGACTCACGGCCCAGTAATATCGTGGAGTGCTACGACCCGAACACCGACACCTGGACCATTGAAAAAACCATGAAGGAATGCCGTGCCTTTCATGGTTGTGCCACAATTCAGCTGTGATCTTGACTCTAAGTTGTGATTAACAAAATATCTTTAATCTCATAAATTGGCATATCTTGTTAACTGCATACCTCTAAATGATACAATTTTTGGCACAATGAATGCACCATATTTTTTTTGTATTTTATCTCTAATATTCTAAGTTTATTGACTTGAATAAGGGTGTTATTTCACTTAAAAGTTTTAAAATGAAGCTCTGGTGCCATGAATATTCTTTATATTTGCCATATTGCTTATTTTACTTTGGGGTTAGGCCTTAGTCTTGATTATACATGTTTTAATTCTCAAACAAAATAGTCATGAATAAAATGAGAATTATGAATCAAAGAGCTTGTTCAATTAATTGTTCAGCACTAATAGATAAGTTGCATCCATAAACAATTTCCTGCCTTTTTTTCTCAAATTGTGTCCAGACTGTAATTTTAGTAACTATAATGAAATACAGTCAAACTTTTTCATCTCATCTTGATAGGAGTCAAGAAAATACCAAATAACGGAATTTTTTGCGAGGATTTAATTTTGGCAATATAGCGAGGGTGCTGAGATCACTAAAATTTCATATCGCTAAAAATTAATTGTGTTTTTAGCTTACCTGAGCCAAAGGCTCAAGTGAGCTTTTCTGATCACATTTTGTCTGTCGTCCATATAGCTGTCTAGCTGTCTGTCTGTCTGTAAACTTTTCACATTTTCGACTTCTTCTCAAGAACCACTGGGCCAATTTTGACCAAACTAGGTACAAAGAATTCTTGGGTGAAGGGAAATTTAAATTCTTAAAATGAAGGGCCAAGTCCCCTCACAAGGGGAGATAATCAAGAAAAGACAAAAATAGGGTGGGGTCATTAAAAAATCTTCTTCTCAAGAACCACTGGGCCAGAAAAGCTGAAACTTATGTGAAAGCATCCTGGGGTAGTGTAGATTTTAAATTGTTAAAATCATGACCCCATTGGGTTGGGCGGGGCCACAATGGGGAATCAAAGTTTTACATAAAGATACATAGGTAAAATCTTTGAAAATCTTCTACTCAAGAACCACTGGGCCAGAAAAGCTGAAACTTATGTAGAAGCATCCTGAGGTGGTGTAGATTCTAAATTGTTCAAATCATGACCCCTGGGGGTTTGGCAGGGCCACAATGGGGAATCAAAGTTTTAAATAGAAATATATGAAAAATCTTTGAAAATCTTCTTCTCAAGAACCACTTGGTCAGAAAAATTGAAACTTATGTGGAAGCATCCTGGGATAGTGTAGATTCTAAATTGTTCAAATCAAGATCATTGTTATGCTTTACTATATATTCAAGGAACTGTGCAAGATGCACTGCATGAACATTACTGGAAATTTTGGACAATCAAACATGACTTTGAACTAAATACTGGTACATGTACTGTAAATGTACATGTATGCAGATTAAATGCAGCACTAAACGTGTATTGTCAAAATGACCGACAGTCGGTGGAAAGTATAAATAATATGAAGATGCATCGTCAGAAACCCACGGCCAATCTCGTATACATTTATGCAAGATTGGCCGTCGGATGATGATGAATATGAAATTGTGAATTAACATAAATGTATATATTGAGATAAGGAACTTCTGAAAACTTCTTTCTTCTAATTGACTGATTCATGTGCTAGGTAAGGATAGACAAAATCAACCTTTTGGGATCATTTTTGGCATCTAGGATTCATGAGGCTTGTTCTTAATTAAAAGCATTTATTGTCACAAAAAGCCATAGACTTTATTTAAATGTAAAAATCTTGTCCTTAACTGAATCTAGAATCAAAAAGAGCATCACATATTCTAAATATGTTAAAAAAACTGTAAATTTATGATATGATACAGACAGAAATTAACATCTTTCAAATTAATGCTGATGTGAAGGAATTTGACTTGTTTGAAAATCATCCCCAAAGACTATATTGGAAAACAGAATTTTGTTCAATGCATGTAACATCCCAAAAATATGAAGACTGCATTTTGTAAGCTGACATCAACTTATATTGGCAAAGTCATGTACTTTAACTTGGTTGACAATAAGAAATTTTATTTATCTGCATGACGATGTTTACAAGGAAGTATTTGACTCAGGTGGGCCATGTGGCCAATATCACTCGGTCTTTATTTTAACATTGCTTTGAAAAGGACAAATTTCATTATACTGCACTTTATCTAGCTTTGATTGATATTTCAAACCCCCAAAATGCCATAATTTATTTAATATATTTGATGGATGTTAACATTGAAATACCAACTGTGGCCTTGTCTAGCCTTAGGACTATGGTTTATAAAGACAAGAGGCTTATGGGCCACATCGCTCACCTGAGAAGCTTTGACCATTCTGTTCTTTACCAGATTTCCCCCTTGTAATACATATTGTGACCCCACCCTTCCCCACTGATCATATTTTAAACAATTTGAATTCTACACTAACTCAGTATGCTTCCACATAAGTTTAAGCTTTTCTGGCCCAGTGGTTCTTGAGAAGAAGATTTTCTCAGATTTTTCCTATATACTCCTATGTAAAACTTTGATGGGCAATTGTGGCCCCACCCTACCCCCGGGGGTCATGATTAAAACAATTTAGAATCTACACCACCCCAGTATGCTTCCACATAAGTTTCAGCTTTTCTGACCCAGTGGTTCCCGAGAAGAAGATTTTTCCTATATATTTCTATGTAAAACTTTGATTCCCCATTGTGGCCCCGCCCTACCCCCGGGGGTCATGATTAGAACAATTTAGAATCTACACTACACCAGGATGCTTCCATATAAGTTTCAGCTTTTCTGGCCCAGTGGCTCTTGAGAAGAAGATTTTCAAAGATTTTTCCTATATATTTCTATGTAAAACATTGATTCCCCATCGTGGCCCCACCCTACCCCCGGGGGTCGTGATTTGAACAATTTAGAATCTACACTACCCCAGTATGCTTCCACATAAGTTTCAGCTTTACTGACCCAGTGGTTCTTGAGAAAAAGACTTTTAAAGATTTTTCCTATATATTTCTATGTAAAACTTTGATTCCCCATTGTCCCCCACCCTACCCCAGGGGTCATGATTTGAACAATTTAGAATCTACACTACCCTAGGATGCTTCCACATAAGTTTCAACTTTTCTGGCTCAGTGGTTCTTGTGAAGATTTTTAAAGATTTTTCCTATATATTTCTATGTAAAACTTTTTGGCCCTGCCCTACCCTCAGGGGTTTTGATTTGAACAATTTAGAATCTACACTACCCCAGGATGCTTCCACATAAGTTTCAGCTTTAGTGGCCCTGTGGCTCTTGAGAAGAAGATTTTTTAATGACCCAACCCTATTTTATCTTTTCTTGATTATCTCCCCTTTTGAGGGGACATGGCCCTTCATTTTGACAATTTATACTCCCCTTCACCCAAGAATGCTTTGTACCAAGTTTGGTCAAAATTGGCCCAGTGGTTCTTGAGAAGAAGTCGAAAATGTGAAAAGTTTACAGACGGACAGACAGATGGACGGACGGACAGACGACGGACAAAATGTGATCAGAAAAGCTCACTTGAGTCTTCAGCTCAGGTGAGCTAAAAATTGCCTCCCTTTCTCTTAAGCTTAGATATTCCGACAATCTCTGATTTACCTCTCTTGATATTTTTGCTTTAAAATCCAGTCTTTTAATAAGAAATTTTTTTTATTTAAAAATATAATACACAGATACAAAAAACATTCAGAAAAATAACTTAGGATATGAAAAGATGTACAATAATGTAGTAGCACTCTGAGCTTTCTCCAAATGCCTATTACAAATTTAACAGAGTTAACTTTGAGTGATCTGCTGTGAATGTGTCAGGAGTTATCCTTTATGAGTTATGTACTCAGCACGGTCCACTGAATTCTGGAGTCAAGCTATTTACTGTGTCCATCATTTTGTAATAACAACGTACTCAAGCAATATCCATTAAATTCTGTGAGTTAAGCTGTTTAGTGTGTCCATCACTGTGTTGATAAGAGTTACTCAGCACAGTGCACTGAATCCTACAAGTTAAGATATTTAGTGTGTCCAACTGTCCATCACTTTATTATAACGATGTACTCGGCACAGTTCATTGAATTCTGTGAGGTAAGCTGTTTAATGTGTCCATCACTTCGTAATAACAATGTACTCAGCACAGTCCATTGAGTTCTTTGAGTTGAGCTCTTTAGTGTGTCTATAACTTGCAGTCCAACCTTACTCTCTGCACTATTGTTGAAGCATATTTGTCTGCTATCAAAGAAACGATATTGATGGCAGTCTGTCTGTAAAGAAACAAATCATGAGGGATCAAAAAAATATTAATAAAATTTTAATAAATGAAAAAAGGCTGACATATTTTCACAGATTAGAAAGAGTTTGCAGAGCTTGTATCTTACCTTTATTTTCAGGTTCTAGCTGATCTCTTTGGACTCTCACAGAAACATTGCGAGCTGCTTTTGGAAACAGGATCAATGCCAGCATAAACCCCTACCTATTAACAAAAAAAGAAACTAGAAATTCAAGAAATGCGAGTGTCATAATCTCATTTAATTCACATAACACAAGGTCTCGAGCTTGACATACAACTGACTTAATTACCAAAGATTTTAGGTTAGACAGTAGTTAGTCCTTCATCTCCAGTCTTGTTAACAAGTTGAGGTCAGTCTCATCTTCTGCCTGTTAACAAAGAAAAATCTAAAGATCATTGAAAATAATGGAGACCTTGTGCCAAAATGTTCACCTGAATCATCTTGACCTTGTCATCAGAAGAAAAAAAAAATCTTAATTCATATTTTTACTAATCCTAGTCCAAAGGGATCATGATGTAACCTAATTTGAATCATGACATCCTCAGGATGCTTTAGATTGCAACATGGTTGCTGTTGTGCTGCAGAAGTAAATCACCCTGAACCTATGATTTGAATAAGTGTATAAAGAAAAATTGAAAATTGCAAAAAAAAGAGCTTTTTACTCACTCCATTATCAGATATTGGCTGCTGGACAAAGCTTGGCAATGGACTCTTCTTCTTCTCTTGGTCAGCACTGGTCTTCTTCCTTCTTCCCTTGTCAAATCCCTTTAAAATACTTGATGGAGAGAAGATAAGCAATAATTCAAAGCAATGTAATAATCAAAGAAACTCAAATGATCATAATCATAGCGCATTACAACATTATTAGCTGGAAAATCAAAGAGCAAATTAAGGCAATAAGGTTATGATAGGAATAAGGTGGATTATTGGGGCAAGGAGAGGAATGCATAGTTACTTTAGAGAAGGGAGAACAAAAAAACGTCAGAAATAATTAAACGAAAATACTTGTAAGACTCCTGCTTGTTAAAGTGGGTCCTGATGAAGTTCCATAGGTAAAAAAAGAAGTACAAATATTCTCCTCATGGCTGCAGCGGAATGGGAGAGGGACTCTTCCTCACTTAGAATTCCTAGTCAGTCTTAACTTTCTTCTGCTTAAAAAGATAAAACAGAGACATAAAAGGGGAAACACTTTCACTTCATATCAAGTGAGAAGCTTCAGTAAAAAGCAGCTTGTTGCTTACCACTTTTGAAACACAATGCCTTCAAAACACAGACAGGAATAGACTCTTCTTATATTAATGACCTTGGTCCTCCATTGTTGTTCCTCTTCTGAATTAAAGAGGAACTGAAATCTGTCGGAAGTCCAAAGGTTAAAGCTTGGTACAGCCAACATCAATTGGCAAGCAAAGATACAAGAAGTCAAGTCTGAATCTTACTCTGCTTTCTGCTGATGTCTGCAGTTTAATGGGAGAGGGAGTCTTCCTCACTTCAGCATCCTGTTCAACCCTAACATTATTCTGCTTAAAAAGATAAGAACAGACACCAAAAGGGGATCATTGGCAATTCATACCAAGTGAGAAGATTTCTAAAATAAACAAGTGGCCAATGGGCGATATGCTCACCTAAGCATATTGGCTAGTAAATGCACAAATTAGTCCAGTATTGAAAAGTATAAATTTTAGAATAATTACCTTGAGACATTTTCATATCAATAACAATGGCTTAGCTGTTCTTGAACATAATAAAGATTTTTTTTTCTATATATTCCTTTGTTAAAATTTTATCCCCATTGATGCCCCTCCCTGCCCCCTGGAATCAAGATTTGGACAAATGTGAATCTACACTACCTAAGGATGCTCCCATGTCAATATGACTATATATGGCTTTGGTATTATTGAGAGGACATTTCCTATATATTCCCCTATCCATTTTGATCCACCATTGGGGCTCTCTCCTACACATAGGAGTCATGATTTGAACAAACTTAAATCTATACTACATGAAGATGCTAGCGTATACATATCACCAGTCATGACATTTTTGTTTCTGAGATTTCTAAAGATATTTATGGCACGCCAAATTCACAAAAATGAGATAATCATAGTTTCACAATCGATAAACTAGGTTTATCGGTTGTAAACTATAGTTTACGAACTGTAAACTATAGTTAACAACGTTAATCTATATTTCACATCTGTAAACCATAGTTAACGCGATAATCTATGTTTCACAACCGTAAACTATACTTAACACCGAAAACAATCATTTGTGATCGCAAAACATAGATTATCTGATAAATACAGTTTCACGATTTGTAAACTATAGTTTACAAACCGTTAACTATAGTTAACGATCTGATAAATATAGTTTCACGATTTGTGAAACTATGATTAACAACTCTTAACTATAGTTAACGATCGTAAATTATAGTTTACAGACGTGAATCTATGTTTATCAACAAAATCTATTGTTAACGTTTCATTACAGAAAGATAAACTTAGATTATCATTCGTAAACTATAGTTAACAACCGTTAAATATAGTTTTACAGATGAAAACTATACTTAACGAATCGTTAACTATAGTTAACGAATCGTTAACTATAGTTAACGAATAGTTAACTATAGTTTACGGTTTGTAAACTATAGTTTACAGTCGATAAACCTAGTTTATCAATTGTGAAACTATGATTATCTCATTTTTGTGAATTTGGCGTGCCATAGATATTTCCAATGGGAGCCAGTCAAAGCGTTCCCAATTAAAACCGTCCCGGTCAAAGCGTTCCCAGATTTTGGTCAAAGCGTACCATGATTTTGGTCAAAATGTCCCCAGATTTTGGTCAAAGCGCCCCCTGACATATTTTAAAGAAATATGATACTACGAAACCGCCCCCTGATTTTGGTCAAAGCGTCCCCTGATTTTGGTCAAAGCGCCCTGACATATTTTTATAGAAAAAGGAATTTTCCAAAGCGCCCCCAAATTTTGGTCAAAGCGCCCCCTGATTTTGGTCAAAGCGCCCCCTGACATATTTTTTTAATAGAAAAACAACGTTTGAGGTTTGGTCAAAGCGCCCCCAAATTTTGGTCAAAGCGCCCCCTGATTGTGGTCAAAGCGCCCCCTGACATATTTTTATAGAAAAAGGAAGTTTCCAAATTGCCCCAAATATTGGTCAATGCGTCCCCAAATTTTGGTCAAAGCGCGCCCCCAAATATTGGTCAATGCGTCCCCACATTTTGGTCAAAGCGCCCCCTGACATATTTTTAAATAGAAAAACGTTTGAGGTTTAGTCAAAGCGCCCCCAAATATTGGTCAAAGCGCCCCCTGATTTTGGTCAAAGCGCCCCCTGACATATTTTTATAGAAAAATGAAGTTTCTAAAGCGCCCCCAAATATTGGTCAAAGCGCCCCCAAATATTGGTCAATGCGTCCCCAAATTTTGGTCAAAGCGCCCTCAGACATATTTTTTAATAGAAAACGTTTGAGGTTTGGTTAAAGCGCCCCCAAATTTTGGTCAAAGCGCCCCCTGATTGTGGTCAAAGCGCCCCCTGACATATTTTTATAGAAAAAGGAAGTTTCCAAATTGCCCCAAATATTGGTCAATGCGTCCCCAAATTTTGGTCAAAGCGCGCCCCCAAATATTGGTCAATGCGTCCCCACATTTTGGTCAAAGCGCCCCCTGACATATTTTTAAATAGAAAAACGGTTGAGGTTTAGTCAAAGCGCCCCCAAATATTGGTCAAAGCACCCCCTGATTTTGGTCAAAGCGCCCCCTTACATATTTTTATAGAAAAACGAAGTTTCCAAAGCACCCCCAAATATTGGTCAAAGCACCCCCTGATTTTGGTCACCCCAAATTTTCAAAGCGCCTCCAAATCGATTTTTAAACGGAATTTGCTGTTATAATTATGTATATTTTTTCCTGACGTCCCAGAGTCAAAATATGATAGCTCATTTTTAAAATAAATGTTGATGCTCACATACATATTTTTATAATCTGTAACTTTCTTTTCAACCTTACAGGTGTATAAATATAAGGATAAATCTATAAACACGGTGGATACGATCAAGGAAAAATTTCTAATCAAGCTCATAAAAGTGGGTACCACTAAAATACGCCTGCCGACGCCTGCCTGGGGAAAATACGCCTGCCGGGAAAATGTATACGCCTGCCGTGTTATTAATGGAATTAATTTGGTTTTTGTTAGATATATTACTTTTTTAGACCCTGTAGTTAATGTTTTAGGAAACAACAATAATGTTAAAAGCACAGAATGGGGTTTTTAATCGTTTTAAAGTTTGTATACGGCGTGGAGGCTGCATTTCATTTCCGGAATTTTTGGTAATTATCAACTTTTCATTTCCGACATTTTTTAGTTTTCATTTCCGACATTTTTCAAATACATATGTAGTACCTAAAGTAACAGATTTGATAACTTTACTTATGAAAAATTTAAAGGAATAAATCACAAATAAAGCATTGAAATCCAATTTTGTAAAGCTATCAGTGACTTGGAGATAAGTATGGTGCTGTCACCGACATTTAATTAAGTGCACATCAAATGTTGTGAAAAAGTTAATGCTCATTGATTACATTGAAATCTCTTACCTAGACTTAGTGCTACATGTATGCATATATGTATAGATGTTTTTTTTTTTCAATATGAATATTTTGGTATATACTTTTAAAATTTCATTTTCTTTTACTTAGAAAACATTGAATTGCCGCACAGGTAAATTCCGGAAATGAAAAAAAAAATTGTGTCGGAAATGAAAACAAAAAATGTCGGAAATGAAATAAAAAAATGTCGGAAATGCTATGCATATTTCCGGAAATGAAATGCAGCGGGCGTGGAGCATGCCTGACGAAAAATCTAACGCCTGCGGCGTTGTTTCTCTAATTTCTCATTACAATATTTGAAATGTTACTTTGCAAAAGTATTTGGTTAATATTTGACAACAAATTAATCAAAAAAAAAATTAAATATATATTTTATTTATTTAGTGTTTGATACAAGAGTATATAGTATTAAAGGAGATAAATCTTACTCAGGAACTGCTGTGTGAAGACCATGGACATCATGTTTTTTCTTTCTTTCTTTTTTTAAGTAATATATTATTGGTTTCGTGTTTATCTATAGAATTTACAATGACTCAGGAGCACATATGCAGTAAAAACTTTGCGATTTACGGGTTACCGTAGTTGTTTTGAATCAGAATCTGAAATATTTAATGTTAAACTTTTTAAACATCAATGAAATAAATATTATTTCTGATTTTCAGGTTATATTAACTTATTATATGCAACATAGTTATAAAAATAAATACAAAATTTTACAGGTAAGAAAAATGGTAATATTTAAACTATTCCTACACATCCATGTATACATCAAGCAGAGAAGGAAATAAACGAAATGAGTACTAAGAAAATCAGCATGTAAATGACATGTGTACAAAATATCGTTTATACCTGTATGTTCAAAATCATTCCTTTTCATTCATTTAGAGAAAAGGAAGATAAAGTAAATCAAATTCTAAAGAAAAAACAAATAAGACATGCAGGCACTTGATGTTCCACAAAAACAAAAACAAAGACAAACAAACTTGGAAACCCATACCTAGTAATTCGGTATGGGGTTCTATTTTATCATTATTTCAGATATAACGTCAAAGAATAGTCTGTAGAATAAAATTTACTGAAAGCATGATGTGTTTATACCATGTATGCAACATGTATAAGCGATCTGGGCTGTCATGGAAATAAACAAAACTTTTAATAAGTTAAAGTTCAATTCTTTAAGTACTCACCTCATTTCATCTGGATGAATAAAGTTTCGTAGACTAGCGTGTTTGGTACAATCGTTTGTTAATTTTTTTTTCTAAAATTATTAAACTATTTCAAACTATCAACGATGTATGATAAATTGAAAGATAGTTCAAAATGGTTTACTGGAATATTTGTAGGATTAAGTACATAGTTCTGGGTTAAGAGAATTTACAGATTTCATTTAACGTAATATTAAAATCAGTAACGTCGTGATGACGTCGTTACGTCAAAAGTTGTAATTATTAAAGAAAATGCACCATTTTCCCAAACCTCTGGCGGAAAAAACGGTAAGAGATAATTCCAAAAAATAAAATGATTTTGAAAGGACACATCGTGGGCATGTTTGTAAAAAACTTCAATCGGATTTAGAGACAGGGCCGCCTCGTTATTCATACCGTACCCAGTTCTTTTCAAAATATAAAACACATTAGTTTTTTTTTTTATCTTAATTAACATTTCAAAGTTTCACAATATCTTAGTCTAGGCAAGAACTCGATGATTTAAGAAAAGTGATGAAAGTAATCTATTTTATTTATTTATTTCAATTAGAGAGAAAATAATCCATCGAAAGTTCCAAATATTCTCGCTATATACGGTATATTATTGTTCTATCAAAATTCATTATTGTTAAAATTTGTTTACAATGATATGAATGTCTGAATTCATGTTTACTGTGTATACACGGACTTCAAATCTCAATGAAACTTAATGATCGATCTTCCTGTATACCCTACCTGTGCG